CTTCACCTTCGGCACGTTCCTTCCGGAGCACGGTGAGCCAGGGCCCGGGGACCCTGCCCCCGCCCTGGGGCTTGGGCACAGGCCTGGAGCGCCCAGGGACATCGGCCCCTAGCTGTGGCTCCCAGGGCCCCTCCCGGGGCGGGGGTGTCGGCCCCAGGCCGCCTTCATGGGGACACCTGGCGGGGCGGGGCCTTCAGGACCTGTGCACCCTGGGGGGCGGGGCTTTGCCCATGGGCTCTCTGAGCTGAGGCCACGCCTGGCGCCCCTGCCTCTCTGCCTTCCCCCAGAAGTGGGGGTCTGCAGCTTTGCCCGGTTCTCGGGGGAGTTCCTGCCGCGGGGGCCCAGCACACCTGACCTGGCGGAGGTGGAGGTGGCCGCAGGTGGCCCCGAGGTGCCTCTGCAGGATGGGGGCCAGGCCGTGTGCTTCAGTGCCCTGGGGATGGTCCAGTGCTGCAAGGTGGGTGTGGAGGCCGGGGTTCCGGGTGCCGCTCAGGTGGTGGGAGAAGACGGGGGACGGAACGGGGAAGGGCTGGGGGCTGGGGCTTGGGCAAGCTCCCGGGAGAGGCTGGGAGGTGGAGTCGGACAGCAGGACGTGCGTGGACGGTCAGTTATGTTGTCCAGTCCACACAATGTGGTGACCACCCATCACTTTAGGGAGTATGGACACTGAGGCCCAGATACGCAAGTCCTCTGTCCATGGTCACACAGCTCTCAAGAGGCGGGGCTGGGACTTGAACCCTTGTCTCTCTGATATCCAAACCTCCATGCTGCCAGGCCCCCAGAGCTGGGCCTTTCTGCCTGGGGCCCGGCGTGTCCCACTCTCCAGGGTCCCGGGGTCCTGGTGGGCGGCGGGCTCCAGGCTGCAAGGCGGTGGCCCCGTCTCCCTCAGGTCACGTGCCATGAGCTGTGTCACCTCCTGGGCCTGGGGAACTGCCGCTGGCTCCGCTGCCTCATGCAGGGCGCGCTGCGCGTGGACGAGGCCCTGCGCCGGCCCCTGCACCTCTGCCCCATCTGCCTGCGCAAGCTGCAGCACCTGCTAGGCTTCAGGCTGGTGGACAGGTACAAGGTGAGTGGGCGGGGCCTGGGCGGGCACGAGGTGAGTGGGCGGGGCGTGGGCGGAAACAACGTGAGTGGGCGGGGCCCGAGCGGGCGCGAGGTGAGTGGGCGGGGCGTGGGGCGGGCACGCGGTGAGGGGGCGGGGAGGGTATGATTACGAGTGGGCGGGGCGTGGGCGGAAACAACGTGAGTGGGCGGGGCCCGAGCGGGCGCGAGGTGAGTGGGCGGGGCGTGGGGCGGGCACGCGGTGAGGGGGCGGGGCGCAGTGTGGACGCCCGCGCTGTCACTCCGGGGACTCTCGGGATCGGGCTGAGTCCTCGGCCGGGCGCCTGGCCGGGTGCTGGTTGGCTGTCCCGCGGCGGAGGGGGCTCGGGGGCTCCCGGCTCCTCTGTTTCGCAGCAACCCTAATTAGAGCCAGTCTCTACCCGGCAGTGACCGCATGCTAGACCTGTCCTAGCGCGGCTGTCCGCGGGCGGCGCCGGCCTCACCGAGGGGCCGCGCAGCATCGTTTTCTCCCTGCTTGGGCCTCGGCCCCTTGGGAGGAGGAGACGGGAGCGGAGAAAGAGCAGCCTTGGAGGGGCGGGCAGCGGGTAATCCCGCCCGCCCGGGCAGGGGCCGAGCCGGCGGGCGGTGCTGCCCTCTGCCGCCCGCGCGAGGAGCCGCGGGGAGCAGGGCCGGGAGGGGCCCCGGGAGCCAGGTCCATCGGCCCCACTGCAGACCGGGGGACGGGGCTCAGAGTTCACAGGTCACAGGCAGGTGGTGGTTCCTTTTCTTTTTCTCCTCTTTTATTGAAGTATAGTTTATGTACAAGGTTAATTTCTGAGTCACAGAGTGATTCAGTTATATACATATGTACACTTTTTCATATTCTTCTCCATTATGCTTTATCCCAGCACACTGACCAGCAGGACCTTGCTTGTCCATCCTATATATAGTTGCATCTGCTGATCCCAAACCCCCATTCCTTCCCTCCCCCACCCTCTACCCCTTGGCAATGGAAAATCTGTTCTCTGTGAGTCCGTTTCATAGATAGGCTCACTAGTGCCATATTTTAGAGTCCACATACAAGTGATATCATATGGTATCTGTCCTTTCTCTTTCTGACTTCACTTAGTATGATAATCTAATTGCATCCATGTTGCTACAAATGGCATTCTCTTTTTAATGGCCGAGTAAAATTCCACTGTATGAGTAATATTCCATTGTATATATGTGTCACATCCTTATCTTCATGAAAACCATGAATAATATGTCAGGCTTGGAAAGCTCCTCCAAGTTTGCTGTCTTTAGAGCTTCTAGTCTGACATCTGCTTGGGGTCACGGGCATGGTGGGGTCTCCTCGAGTGGGTGGCTGGGTCTCCTGGCAGCTCCCTGGTGAGGGACGTGGCCGATCAGGCCGGCTCAGCCTGTGTCTCTCCCTCATAGAGACTCTACGCCTGGACACAAGCGGCGGCGGGGACACAGCCGGGCCCAGCAGCGGCGGGGGAGCCGTCCGTGTCGGAGGACACCCTGCCCTGCAGCGCAGACTCGGGGCTGTGTTGCGAGAGCGACTCGGAGCCGGGCAGCAGCCTCTCGGAGCCCCTGTCGCCCGACGCCTGGAGCCAGGCCTTCCCTGCGGGCCTTGAGCTGGAGCCCGAGGACGGGCTGGGCTCCCTGGCAGCCACGGAGGGTCCAGGGGAGGCCCTGGCAGAGCACGGGCGCTGGCTGGCGGCCTGCATCCAGGCCCTGGAGAGGGATGTGAGCGAGGGGGAGCTGGAGCAGGTGGACTGTGCTGTGGACGCGCTGGCCCCTTGGGACCTGTTCACGGGGCAGCTCCCGGCCCCCCGGCAGGACCTGCCCTGTGGCCGCGATGGCGTGGGGCTGCGCAGGGTCCTGGGGGACACGTTCTCCTCCCTCCGGAGGAAGCTGAGTGCTCGCAGGCCGTCTAGGGCCGAGTCGTCTCCCCGGCGCCAGAAGGCAGAGGACGACTAGCGTGGCCAGTGTGACCCATCCAGCTCCGGCCTGTCCCCAGACACCAGCTGCCTGGCCTCTGGGGCGCCTCGGGCCCAGCAGGGGCAGGAGGGACAGTGTCTCGGGAAGCAGAGGGTGATGCAGCTGCACCCCCAGTCCTGACCGTGGCCTCACGATGTGGCTGGCAGGGAGGGCGTCCCAGGCACCCGATGTAGGTAGCGGGACAGGTGCCCACTTCTCCTGCAGCCCGGGGTCTCCGCTACTGCAAACTCAGCTTCCAGAGCCTGCACGCGGGCTCTCCACTCAGAGAGCAAGTCACGGCGGTTGCGTTTCTTTCTACCACGAGCCCCATAGAAAGGGTCCTCTGCTGCAGTCCAGCCGCATCCTGACCCTTGGGACTTGCCGCGGGCATCTCCCTGAAGCTTGGGGTGGTCACCACCTCTACGGGACCCTGTGCCCACAGACCTGCCATTTCCCCTGACGACTCTTGGGTGGGGGAGGTCGCAGGTGTGGTGGGATGGTGCGGCCCCGCTGGGGCCTGCAGAGGTGAGAGCAGACCGCAGCTCCCTCCTCGGGACAGCTGGACACAGGAGGGCTGGACCCCATATCCACGAGGGCAGGGGGGGTTAGGGTTTTGTTCAGAACATCCGTGTCTGTTTTTTGGTCTAGTTCTGCCAGCTGCCGAGAGAACAAGCGATTTAGATGTTAAAACATCCACCACCCCAGTAGGAGCATCTGTCTGCCCTTAACTCTTTCAGATTTTGCTCTGGCTCTTCCAGGCTCCTTCATGTACACACACCTTTGATATGTTTTCGTGGCAGACTGGCCCTGTTTTCCTTCTCACACGCCCTGGGCTGTGGCTCATGAGTCCTGCAGAGATGCTTCTGGTCCTGACAGCAGGGCTCTTGTGGTGTGATGGGTAGAGGGGAGCATTGAGGGGCCCGGAGGGCCAGGGCAGCTATCTTCCCGTCTGGGGAGAGACGAGAACGGGGCAGCTCCTACGTTTTTCACAGAGCTTAGTTTGGGGAAGCCTTCTAAGAACAATGGTACAAAATACAAATACAGAATCAGGAGGGTGTCCCGCAAGCACAGAATCCCGAAGCCTCTTTGTAACCTGACCAGGCAAGTCCCAGACCAGGGAGACATAAGAGGGGTGAGACCATCGTGCAGACAGAGCAGCAAGGCCGCAGCTCTTCAGGCCCCCATTCTGTTTTGCACAAGGACCTGGAGGCTCCTGATGGGGAGACGGGACGAGCCGGGCTCGTGGGAAGTGAGCTGGGACGGATCCCGCAGACAGCACGGCACAAGAACAGTGAGCAGACCACTCGCACCCGAGGGCTTAAAGCCCCAACAGCTGTCCGCTCAGGAGGCTCGGTGTGGGCAGAGAGCTGGGAAGGTGTGCCCCGGTCCTGGGCTGGAGAGTCCGGCTTGAGGACGGCCCACTTGGCAGGGCGGTGCGGGGAGCTGCCTCGTGGCAGCTGAGGGCCAGGGCCGGGGTCCCTGTAGCCTGGTGGCTGGCTGTCAAAGGCGGGACTTCCTGGAGCCCCGTGGGACAGGTGTGTCCTCTCAGGACAGCCGGGTCCAATGGGGCTCACGCCTCTTCACAGGGGAGTGGCGAGGTTCTGAAGGAGCATGGGCAGTGGGAAAACACTGTGGAAACCTGTTGCTGTAAGCACACACGGCCGGGATCAGCCGTCACACCCACCACGCAATCTCACCTGCTTTCCTTCTGCAGGGGGTTGACAGCTGGAGAGACTTCCCTAGTCTTCCAGTGGTTAAGAATCGGCCTTGCAATGCAATGCCTTCCCTGGTGGCTCAGAGGGTAAAGCGTCTGCCTACAACGCGGGAGACCGGGGTTCGATCCCTGGGTCGGGAAGATCCTCTGGAGAAGGAAATGGCAACCCACTCCAGTACTCTTGCCTGGAGAATCCTGGGGATGGAGGAGCCTAGTAGGCTACAGTCCATGGGGTCGCAAAGAGTCAGAAATGACTGAGCTACTTCACTTTCAGTCTTTGCAATGCAGGGGACGAGGGTTCGCTCCCTGCTCGGGGAACTAAGATCCCACCCCCCACAGGGCAACTAAGCCCGAGTGCTCTAGAACCCACAACCAGAGTCTGAGTGCTGTGATGAAAACTCCCCCATGATGCAGCAAAGGTCCCGTGTGCCGCAGCAAAGCCCCGACGAAGCCACACACACACACAAACAACGGCTGGAGTGACGTAAGGACACACGCGACTGATGAAGAGAGAAGAGCCTGGCTCAGACTGGGGCCGGGGGCTCAGGGGGATCATTACCAAGTTCTCAGCACCGTCTAACTGCACCCGTGGCCTCTGGCTCCCAGCCGTGATCAGTGGCCCCAGAAAGCATCCTGAGACGGGGAGGGACAAACCACTTCCTTCTCGGCCTGCACCAGCTGCAGACAGAGTACACTTTGAAGATAGCAGCTGGGAGGGACATTTTGAAAATAAAAAACTTCTAGGAGCAGAGATTACAGCTTCCTTCCTCTGCTCCAGTATCAGCCCAGGTCCTGCCCCTGTGGGGAGTGGGGAGCAGCTGGGGACGGCCCCCAGGGAGTGGCTTTGGCGGGGGAGGGGCGTAACCAGCCCCATCTCTTGAATCAGAGTCTTGGATCGCCAAGTCCAGGCTTGAGACGCTGGATGGCTGGGCACCTTAATGGGCTGAGTTGAAACAGCCACAGATAATGGTTTCCGAGAAACAAGGGCCCTGGCTTTTATTTCTGCTGATGCATGAAGTCAGTGTCATCTCCTTATCTGTCAAAGGCCCTGTGAGTCAGAGGAGAGGGTCTGAGCTTTCCCACGGACCCTCTCCGAGTGTCCCCCGCCATGAGCCCGGGTGGAGGGGCTCGACGGAGCTGAAGATACATCAGGGTCATGACGTTACGTGCCTGTCACCGCTCCTACGGGACATGGGGTGGGGTGTCCACACTTGCCTTCAGAAGGAGCCTCAGCTCATGCGGGCACCCTGTCCTGGTGGAGGGGGACGAGAGGGGTGGCAGGCCCCTTGTCCTTTTGGAAGCTCAGGCTCGTCATCAGGTGAGGGACCCAAGAGTTGTCTTGACCTCCCTCCTTCCCCTACCATGAGCCCCTCCGCGGTCCCCGCGATTCCAGAGCGTGTTAATACCGTCCCGCAGGACGTCTGATTCAGACCTTTCTGGGAGGGAGGCAATCTCCGAAAGGGCTTAAGAAAATAAACACACAATAGCTTAGCCAAGCAGCTAATATTAAAGCAAAGACTCCAAATTTAGATCCCACCAAGTTCAAAGGAGCGGCTGTAGCATTCCAGGGGTGCGCGCGCGCACACACACACACACACACACACACTACTGGCAGGGCCACAAGGAGCTGATCTCCAACGCACAGACACACACACCACTGGCGGAGCCACGAATTGCTCTGTAGGCCTGCTGGGCAGGGCCAGGTAGACCCACATGCTTTTGGGGAAAGCCAGGCAACTCGTCCCTGCAGATAACCCCCTCTTTGAGCCGGCCCTTGTGGGCACCAGGGGATTCCTTCGTCCTCCGAGGCAGATACTCAGATTGCACCTGAAGGTCAAGGGAGTGGAGAGGTGTGTGTGTGGTCACTGCCTGAGGCCGCAAAGCTGGGGCTGAAATTCTGACCAGGTCTGCTCTGACCTGACCCTCCGTGTCGCAGGGCATTCTCAGGAAAGTCTGCGCGGGAAGAGTCGGGACGGAAGCAAAGGGCAGGGGAGCTGCGCCCGGACTCCTACCCACGCAGTGGCAGCCCTTGCTCCGCCGCCCCGAGTTCTAAGACGACCCAGAAGCCGTCCGACAGCCACAGCCCTTTGGGGCGGGGAACGGCCTGGGTGGGTGGCCGGCTCTTTTGGGCAAAGATGCCAACTTAAACAAAGCCCAGAGTCCCGGGGCCTCGCTGACTTGTTTGTACAGAGAGGGTGAGGCCCTGCGGGAGTATTTTTATCCTGGTGAAGGCCGGGAGGACCAGGGCTCCTCTGGGCCGCTCCCGACCTGAGCTGGAGCCCGTGTGCCAGGGCGGTGGACAGAGGACTCGTCCAGGCCGGCTCTGGCCGCCGTGGCCTGGCTGCAAAGCGCAGCAGGCGCCGGGGACCCCTGCCCGCTCCCAGGGTCTCCAGAGGGGCCTGCCCCGTCCTGACGGCTATGGGGTGACTGCACAGAGGACCCCAGGAGCCTCAGGAAACAGTGGGTTTAGGGCCCCAGAACGATAGGCTGTGAACGCCATGCTGTGTGGAGGAGCCCCGGCGCGGAGCCCCCAGCGCCTTGCCTTCTCCAGCACCTCCGTTGTCGGGGAGAACCCAGAATAACCGAGGTTTATTTTTGAACTCGGCTTCTTGGGTCAAGAGGCAAACGAAAACAAGCTTATGTCAGGGGTTTATTTTAAAAAGCAATTTCCAAGAAGTGTCCTGGGGCCACGGCGTGTTCGGTCCAGTCCCTGCACCTCAGTGACGACCCAGGGCGACTGAGGACATGCTGGGCAAAGAGGCGAGGGGACGCAGCAGCCCCCCACCTCCTGGGCAGCCAGAGAGGACCCTCAGGGCTGGTCCACCTCGCACGGCCTCCCGGACGAGCCCAGCTCTCAACAGACTGGCCAGAAACGAAGCCAGGCTCCACATGAGGCCTCTGCAGATGCCGCGAGCCCGCGCGTCCATCAGCACTCTCTCTGTGCTGGGCCTGGGCCAGCCCCGACCCGCCCCGCACGGCTGCCCCGTCCCGCCCCCACCCTGCACAGCCGGAAGGCCCCTCAGGCCCCTGTGGCTTCCCCAGGGGCCCCTGATAGTCCAGCGACACTTAGCGCTGTTCTTTGTGACTCTCTGCAGTCACCATGGGCACGTCTGAGGGCCTCTCACTGGCCTGTGGCCCTTGGGGAACCAGTCAGGCCCCCACTCCCCTGCCGTGTGGACGGGGCAGGGGCCCCCTTGCGGGAGGCCCTAGGGCGGCCGGAGCCCCCTCCCCGCTTCTTTCCCTCCTGCGGCCTTTGAGCCACAAGAGGAGGTTTCTTTACCCTGTGTCTCCCAACACCTGTCCACAGTAAGAGTGGATTTCAAATGGGGGTCACCGACCGTCTACACTGGGTGGCCTTTCCGAAGCCGGCGGTAGGGGGCGGGCGGGGAGAGCGGGGCTGCGTCTGCCCCTGTCCTGCTGTCTGTCTTGGCGGTCAGCGGGGACGCGGACACCCCTGGGGAGGCTGTGCCGCTGGGACAGCCCTCCTGCCCTCGTGGTCAAAGGGGGGACGCAGCTGGTGGCAAAGGGGTCCCTCGAAGGAGAGGGGGAGCCCCGTGGGGCCACGGGTGTGGGAAGGAGCTCCTCCGAGGTCAGCACTCCCGACACAGGCAGGAAGCGGGGAGATGCGTCCACCTGGGCCAGCAGCAACCCGGGCAGAGAGGGGCCCCACCAGCCGGAAGAGGCGCAGAGCCGTCGTCCATCCCTGCCCCCTGGGAAGGACCAGGGCCGTTCCCTTGAACGTCCATTTGGGGAGTCCCCTTCAGTGGAGGGCGGGGACAGTGCGTCCCCGTGAGCTTGAGCCACAACTTGGTCAAACAACTTGATCAGCCTTGTCCTTACATTTAAAAGTAGAGCGGCCGAGTGGAAATATAGCTACACGTAGACATCTTCACTGGGGCTTCCCCTCAGTTGGTAAAGAATCCGCCTGCAGTGCAGGAGACCCCGGTTCGATCCCTGGGTTGGGAAGATCCCCTGGAGGAGGGAATGGCTACCCACTCCAGTATTCTGGCCTGGAGAATTCCATGGACTGTATAGTCCATGGGGTCGCGGAGTTGGACAAGACCGAGCCACTTTCACTTTCTTTCAGACATCTTCACACGGGGATTACAGATGGCTTTGATGTGCAGAGTACGTTCTGTGTCATTCACGTTTTTAATGCTTACACATCACATTTTCATTCTCCAAATTAACACTATACAATCTGAATCTCCAGGGGAGAGGATGCAATTCCAGAAGTCTAACTGAAAAGAATCTGTCACTTGAACGTGATAAGAAGTTCCCTCCCATTGGGAATGATGCTCAGCGCCCGTGGGGATCTACTGATTAGAAAGCTGCCAGCGCTTTCTAGAAATGGGACGTCCTACTCTCCTCAGAAGGGTTTCCTCTCGGGAGACCTGGACTGTCGTTGATGAGGACAGACCGCAAGAGTCTTTATTTATTCATCCACGACACGTCCACCCGACACACCCCCTAGATACCTTCTGTTGTGTCGCTCTGCCCAAAGTCAAAAGACACCTCATCCACCACCTGGGTCACCTCGCAGATGCCTGTTCCCCATGTCCATGCGTCCCAGGCTCAAGGCGATGCTTCTGATGTGATATAATGAAAAGGTGTCTTTTTTGGGGGTCATTATTTCTATTTGTACTAACATGACCTAGGCGTTTTCTCTGCTGTGACTGCGGCTCTGACCTGGCTGTGTGCACACTGCAGGGTGTGGGGTCCCCGCCCGGGAGGGGCACTGAACGGGCGGTGGGCACGCTGGGGATGGGACGGGGGAGCAGAGCCCGAGGCCCAGACCCCGCAACCCTCTCCCGCTGGGGCCCCCGCCGAGCTGGGGCGGGGCTGCACCCAGGAGGCCCGCAGGCGAGACTCTGCACTCGGACCAAGGACCCGGGGCCTCGCTCACCACGGCAGAGACGAGACACACCAGGAGAAGGTCGTTTAAGGCGAATTTTAATCATTTTATAAAAGTCATATATACAAAACACGTTCAACTACCCACCGTGGCTGTACAGTACACTTTTTACACTGCGCCGCGTGTCTCTCAAGCCGGGACACAGCGTGAGCAGAGGCCTGTCCCCACTGCTGGGGCCGGGGCCGGGGGCGGCGTGGAGCTCAGTGCCAGCCCGGGGAGGGGCCCTAACCCCGTGAAATTTCCTTTCCGAGTGTGAAGACCCTGGAAGAGCTCGGGGCTCCGTCCCTGGGGACGCTGAGCCGGGCGCTGTCCTGGCCCGGCCCCTGTGGGGTCCACCGCGGAGGCTGAGACGAGGATGGGGCGGGGGGGGCGGTGGTTGGGGGACGGGCGCACGACAGGAACCTCCTGGCTGCGCTTGTGTCAACAGAGACCACCACACCGGCCCGTTCTCAGCTGGCTTGAATGGACCAAAGAAAAAGACGTTTGGAATGTTTTGTGATTTGTGTTAACAGGTCGAAAGGTAATGCCATAAGATTTCAGAGACCCAGCAGAGATCTATTTTAAATCTCTCGACAGCGAGGCTGCTGGAGAGCCTGACGTTAAGGAGACGGGCGGTGGCCCGGCACCACAGGCTGCCCTCACGCCCTCGGCTCCGGCCACCTGCTCGCAGGTGAACCTGGAAGAGGCGCCCAGGCTCACAGGCGGGGAAGCGTGGAGGACGGGCTTGGTCAGCCTGGCTGTCGGGTCAAGCCTGTGATCTGAATTCTCTCCACCTGGGCGATCGCCCCTCTGCCCACTGTGGGTGCCAACCTCTTCCAGGGCACCTTGACAGCCGGGGGTGGGGAGACCTCCTGGATCTCCCCAAGGCAGCGGGAGGCTTCCCTGGGGGCCAGGCACTGAACAGAGTGGGAGGGGCCCCCGGGCCAGAGTGTTCACCCGCGTGGTTCACCCCTGAAGCCGCCTCGAAGTGCTCAGGCTGCCGTGGGGCTCCCGCCTGACCCCGGCCAGGGCTGAGGCTGCACACCGCAGAACGGGTACCGCGATCCCAGTCTCTGCCCGAGCAGAGGGGCTCTGGAGCCAGCTGGAGGGATGAGCGCCTGCACGGCCCTGGGAGCACCAGGGCAGGGAGGTGAGGGCCCGTCTACCCCGACCCCGGGGCTGCGCTCTCAGCCGCCCCAACGTGGACTCCCGCCGGCTCCCGGGGGCACATGGAGCCCACAGCCCGTGGTCCTGAAGGAAGCCTGCCAGACCGAATAGCCGGGCTGTGCTCACTGCAGGGACTGCCTTTTGAAAGCACAAGAGAAGGGTCATCCACGGCTGATAAAAGGGCGCCCGAGTGACAAGCCTGGAACCGATGGATAGACCAGGCCGGTGGGACCCCGAGCGGCTCAGCCTGGCCGCTTGCTGCCGGCCCAGAGGAGATGCAGACTGGCTCAGCAGCCCAGAAGCTGCCCCAGCATGTCACTCGGGTGTTACCCTCCCCAGCCCCCCACAAGAAAACCCGCACCACCCTAACCCGCTCAGAAGCAGGGCTGCCAGTTCCAGGTGGAGCCAGGCGTGCGCTTCCATGAGGCAAGCCACGAGCCGCGTTTACGGCCCAGACGCAGAGCCTTTGGGTCCCTGTAGGAGGAGCCCCATGCCCCAGTCAGCCGGGGAGGGCCCTGCCGCCCCGCGAGGGCTGTTTCGGGGCAGGGATCTTGTGGTCTGGGTCGCCGCACTTTCCCGCCCCTGCTACACTCAGTCACGGGCTCCTTGGAAGGTCCTTCCTGCTGGGATACCCGAGGACTCCCGAGTTCTGGTGACACCCTGCTCCTCCTGCTATCTCGGGGCCGGGAGCCTTCACACGGGGAGCCCCCACGTGGAGCAGGGCCGTGGGGGGTCCAGGCTCAGGACCACCGTCAGGGTTGGCAGGGCGAGGCGGGCACCGTGGGTGCTTTGGGCAGTATGCAACCTGTTGTCCCTCGAAGCAGGTTTTCACCCGGGGGGACACCAGCACAGCGCGGACACCGGGGCCACGCGGAGCCCCCACGAACACCCAGCCCACGCAGGCCCAGCACCCACCTCGCAGCAGGGCCCTGTCTTCCTTCGCACGGAGCTCCCCGAACTTCCAGGCATCACTCAGCAGCTGGTGCCGAGAAGACGGGGTGAGAGGCCAGCCCCGCCCGGCTCCCGACCCACATGGAGCGCCCGCGGCGCCGTCCTCCCGCAGCGGCTGGCGGACACAGCGAGCGTGGGCCTGGGGGGCCTCCACAGCTCTGCTCCCTGCACGACCCCAGCCGCAGAGACCACCCAAGAATCCAGGGCTGCGGGCCCAGGGCGCCTGCGTCACCCTGCAGTCCAACCTCTACACACGGGGAAGCCGGGACCCAAAGCGCCAGGCCCCCCGGCATGTGGTGAGGCGCGCACGCTTCTCTGCAGGGGCGGGCAGGGGGCTGCCTTGCCTGCCGCGGGCCGCTGAGGCCCCACACACGGACACACACAGCGCCTCGCCGGGCGATGGCCACAGACACTGCGCCTGTTCCTTTTCTGGAAAAGAATCCGGGTGCCATGAGTTGTGCTCACTCTGGGTCGCTGGATTCCCGTTTCCTGGCGGCACGCTGACCCCAGAGGGTCCAGAGAAGGAGCCGCACCTTCCCTGGGCTCCTCCGGCCTCCTGTCTCCGGGCACGTCCACGCCCATCCCAGGTCTCCGCCGGCAGGTGGGCTCAGGGCCTGCCTTGCACACACGCGTCTGTGTGTGCTCCTGCCGCCCCTCCCTGTCCTGAAATCGTGCTCCAGAGACGTCCACACACCACGCTGCTGGCAGCTCTCCCGGTCGCCTCGTGTCCCAAGCGTGGAAACAAGAACTGTGATCAACAGGTAACGAACCTTCAAGGGCCGTCCGGGCTCGTTATCCACGGGCTCTGAACTTGGGGGCTGAAAAATTTCATGTTGGCTTTGAATGCCGAGTGATATTTTCCATTAACAAAAACTAAGGATTTATTTTAATAAATATCCAGAGATTGAAGGTGGTCAGATCATCAAACCAGCCCCTCCTGCCGATGCTAAAATGCCGTGCATGGCGCAAGCCGTGAGCAGTTCATTCCGACCACTCTTGTCCCGACACTGCTTTTGCCCATGGTGTCAAGTCAGCAAGTGTCTGTTCCCAGGATGCCCGAGTTAGTCGGTCAGAACTAAGGATCTTGTTTGAAGACGATTTCCTGATCTTAAGAATTGAAATAACCTGACTCATTTTTATCAAAGAAGTAAAAAAATTACAAGAATAAGGAGTCTAGAGATCTCTATAAATTACAAAGCTATAATGCAATATCTTTGAGACAATTTCTCTACAAACTGAAGTTAAAAAAAAAATAGTAAAAAAAATGCACATGTGTCCTTACGTGTGAACAGTGTGACTACGAGGAGAAAGTCTTAGTTCGAGGAAGTTTATTGTTACATTTTTGCAATAATAGATGAGGCAGACTATCCCCTGCTGCTCCAACATCTCAAAATAAAAGACAGCAAATCACGGGTAACAGTGAGATTAAAACAATACGAAGGCCTAAGGTTTGGGAGAGAAGTGACTATGACCTGTGTGTGGAAAGACCGCAGGTGGTTCTAGCTGAGCCTGCGGAGCCGTCCGTGTCTGACGAGCACGGATCCTGGAACGGGGGGCCGAGTGCCGTCACGCCTGCTCGGCTCAGCACAAGGACGGCTCCTGGCTGCAGGGGAGGGAGTGGGTTGGGTCTGGGCCGGGCCCTGGCTGCCAGGCCACTCAGCACAGTCACGGCCCCTCAATACGAACTCGCTTCCGGGTCTGAGAGTGAGCCGGCAGCCACGACAGATGGTCTGAAGGACAAACCGCGCTCGCTGACCAGGTGGACTCCAACTTGCCAGCAAGCCATTCACAGACCCTCCACCAGCCACACTGACCTTGGGGGCCGCCACCTCTGCCAGCGTGAGGAGGGGTTTCCAGGTTGGCGGGAAGAGCGTGGATCCGGATACGCGTGTGTGATGGGAGCCCGCGGGCGAGGGGCGTGAGGCCCGAGGACAGCAGGGTCTCAGGATGCCCGGATGCAGTACATCCAGAGGGTTCTGTCTCCTTTAAACCTTGGTCACTGGCCCTGATCCCGGGCACATCCTCTCGGTTTACGAAGAGCCACAGGAAGCAGTACAAAAACAGCAACTTTTCTCCAGCCAAAGAGCCCAAACCCCGGCAAACATGGACAGGAAGTCTTGAGGGCCCAGATAGAAACAGGACTTCATGCTGTCTCCTCATTAGACACTGGGATAACATGGATGACTCAGAAGCAGGTTTGCCCTCCCTTTCCTCCTGGGCCAGCATCTGCCGCGAGCTAGATCAGTGTTTGCTGGTGAAGGTGAGCAGGACCCCTGCGGAGACATGGCTGGGAACACGGGGCCTGGGGACGGGCCCTGAACCACAGGCGCAGGCTGGGCCGCTGGCAGAGGAAGGCTTTTCCTCTTTCAAATGCTGGACGAGTCCTCAACGCGCCGGACACTGGCGAGCAGAGCCACACACGGCAGGGACTGGTTTGGAATGCGATGTGTTTTTAAACCCAGTGAGAGACACCTGGACAGGGCAGCCGGACACGCTCACTGACGGTCTGGTTTGCCGGTGCCCGTCACCACTCACAGCCTCCGCAGCGGCCTCCTCTGGGGGCTTTCTGCTACGTGTGCGTGTTAGTGGAAGCGAGGGGCCGTGAGGAGCGCCTGGCGTCTAGGGAGGCAGGAGAGCCTGGGGTGTTAAGGCAGGTGCTGCGGGCCCCGCCGTCCACTCTCAGCGGGCCCTGAGAGGAGGGGGTGCTCGGCCTCCTCCAGAGACGGCAGGCTCCCTGAGCCGACCGCACGTGTGGGAGACGACTGGGAGGGGAGGGCAGTCCGTGAGGCCAGCTGGTGTGGGGGCTCTGCTGCGGGGCGGGGTGGGCACAGGGCAAGCAAGCACCACCCGCCTCCCCGTGCAGAGGGGAGGGGGAATCAAGACAGCGCCCGGCCCACACCTCCCACCGCGGGCCGTGGCCGATCGGACGGGTGGGAGGAAGGCACGGGTGTGGAGGTGTTAAGGCAGGTCCCCCTGTGGGCGCTCACTCCCACCCTCCAACCTGACAGCCGGGGCCTCTCGGGAAGTTGGCACCAGAGACTGAAAAGCCCAGGCGCTCCCTCGGGGAGGTAGTGGCAGGGTCCCCCCGAACTCAGCCCACACTTCCTCCAAACCCCCAGGATGCCGCCAAGCAGCGCCCCCACCGAGGACTCACGAGCTGGAGAGAAGAGCCACCCGCAGAGACGTGTTTGCGTCTCGGTCACTAAAGACAGAGCGTGCGTGCACACACACGCGGTCCCCAACTAAACTGTGTCAGAAGAGACAGTTTCTGAAAAAGAGAGAGCTGTGTTATCAGGCGTCACACGTTAACATCAAAGTGACCGCTGGACTTTCAGTAGTTTCACGAGTCCCCGGGATTCAGTAGCTACGTCCGCGTGTCCCGTCCTGCGGCCAAGCGCAGGCCTGGCGGGCCTCGCACCCGGAGCTGGGCGTCCAGGGCTCGGGGTCGGGGCCACACAGAGACAGGCAGGCCCGGCCCGCGGCCGGCAGGAGCGAGGGCAGCCCCGTCACTGCAGCATGATGTCCTTCAGGTTCTCCTGCAGGATGGTGTCCTTCACGGCGTGGAACACGAAGCGGATGTTCTCAGTGTCAATGGCGGTGGTGAAGTGGTGGAAGAGGGGCTTGCTGCGGTTCCGTCTCTTCCGGTCGAAACACTGGACCAGGAAGCGCTGGACGTCCTCCAGCCTGTGCGGGTCGCCCTTGAAGTCTGGGAAGTGCTTCTTGATGCTGACGGTCTTCACCTTCTCCACCAGCAGGTCCATCTTGTTGAGGAACAGGATGATGGAGACATTGAAGAAGAGCTTGTTGTTGACGATGGTCTCGAAGATGTTCATGGACTCCACCAGGCGGTTGGTGCGCCTGTCCTCCATGAGGACCTGGTCGTACTCGCTGGACGAGACCATGAACAGGATGGACGTGATCCCGTCGAAGCACTGGAACCACTTCTGGCGCTGGGACCGCTGGCCGCCCACATCCACCATCTTGAATGGGATCTTCTTGATGACGAAGTCGTGCTCCACGATGCCCTTGGTGGCCTTCCTTGCCAGCAGGATGTCCTGCTTGCTCGGGAAGTAGTTCTGTAAGATAAGGTCAGGAGGCGTTGGGGAGGAGGGCGTGAGAAGATGGGGATGAACAGATGCGGTGGAAGGAAAGTTACGGGGACTTCTGTGAGAAGCTGAACCAGATACCAGAAGCGACTTTCATTTACAAGAATGTAAATTCACCATGAAACAGAGGGTGAAGGAACCAAGTGGCTCCTTTCAGAATGAATGGGGGGCTCACCAGGCTGAGGAAGAGTGAGCAGGACCCTCAGGTCAGGCCCCAACCCGAGATCTCATCTCCTTTCTTCTCCATGCGAAAGACCACCGCTTTTCCTCCTGAATCTTAGCTACCTTTCTATTTTTCTAACTTCCAGGGCACATGCATTCCAAACCCTGACTCTGAACTGACTTAACTTAGGTTTTGCAATGTTGCTTAAATTTAGCCTGCAATATATTTAGTATGTTATTCTTGGAGAAACCTTTTAAGTCTCCAGCAGCACACGGGCAACGGTGGTCACTCGAAGCCCTCTGATCCTGCCCTGGTACAATCCTCCAGTGGCTCCTGCACACCAGCTCCCAGGCAGCACCTCTGCCAGAAACCCCAGCAGGGAGGAAGCCTCTTGGCCCAATGACCCATCCACAAGGTAAACGGGGGTGAGGGGAACGTCTCCAACAGTGCTGGAGATGGGAGAAGCCCCACAGGGGAGATGCTCCAACCACCCCGACAGACAGGCTGGAAGCAACAAACAGACGGAAGGAGAAAGCTCCGGGTTAAAGGAAGGCCAAGTGCCGTGGACCGACTGCGCCGGATGGACTCGAGACTGCCAAAGTACAGCAGCATCCGCAAGAGAACCTTAGTGGGACAACGGGGAAGGTCTCGAAACCACCTGGAGCTGGCTGATGTTAAGGAATGAGCGCGGTAATGGTGCTGTGGTCTCTGGACACCAGGCAGGGCTTGGGAGGGCAGCGGGAGCCCTTGCCCTGGGGGCTGCTCTGGGCTGCATGCACGGGTCACAGGCTCTGGGCGTGGGGGTCTCACTCACCAGCTGGCCAATCCGGTCCAAGTTATCCAGAAAGTACTTCACCGATTCGCCCTGTCGTAGAGGAAAGAAAAGTCACGGCTCAGTCTGGACTGAGGACCCTAAGGTGGTGAATGGGAGAACTCAATCAGGTGACGTGTGTGCTGCTCTGCCTGCGTGTAGACAGGAAGGCCGAGTGAAAAGACTAACAGTGTGGATGTGTTTTCCAAAACAAAAAACAAATTAAAAGCATTTTAAAAACGCCATTTCTCTAGCTCTGATGCCCTGGTTCAAATTCAGACTGTTTTTCTTTTTTCTTTTTCCCAGACTGTGTTTTTCAAAGCCATGGCGAGAACGCGGACTCTCTGACCAGGCGGGTCCCTCCCTTTGCAGACGGGAGCCAGCTGTGAGACTCGGCTCCTGTGGGTGGTTTTGCTCCCGGCAGGGCCGGCCGGGTGCGCTCCAGGCCCATCTGTTACTTGAGAAGCTGCACACGACAGAACACGTTCCAGCTTCTAGAAACAAACTGAAGTTCTGTTATGACGTCACGTCAGCACCACCCGACTTAAGGGGCAGGACCAGGAGACTCTGGGCTGGATTTCCATGGATGGATGGCCAGTCTTTCTCCAGCCCCTGGGCATTTCTCTGGACTGCACGTCGACACAAACTGACCAATTGCTAGCTAGAAGTGCCCGTGCAAATCGGTCACTGTCCTGTTCTCGGAGGAGTGAGCCAGCTGACACTGCAGCTCTCGGGGCGTAAGGAAGGTTCAGAGGACCTCCAGTGTCGATTAAACGGAGCACACAGAGAAAGCGGTGAGTGAACGGGCGAAAACCCCCCCTTATAAAGTGGGGCGCCGACAACTGCAGCCCGCGTGCCCAGAGGACAGTGTCGATTAAACGGAGCACACAGAGAAAGCGGTGAGTGAACGGGCGAAAACCCCCCTTATAAAGTGGGGCGCCGACAACTGCAGCCCGCGTGCCCAGAGGACAGCTTCCTGCAGGGTTCACTCTGCGCCCCACTGTGCAGACAGAGCCCGGCGAGGATGGCGGGGCGGCCCCCCGGGGAAGCCCCGCCAGCGCGCGCGCGTCCACACGTGCACGGCGGGGACATCCTGGACTCGGGAGGAGGCAGCTCATCGGAAAGGCTCCGGACGAGAGCGTGAGCTGGCGTGGCGTTATGAGGAAGCCCCTGGCCCTCCCCCACCGCGGTCTCCGATGGTAAAAGGAAGGAACGGGGGTGGACTTCCTCTAGTGAAGAACCCACCTCTGGTTTCGAAGAGGCCTGTGGCCGCGCGGAGGAGAGCATGTGTTTAAGGGACGGATGCTTCTCCCAGGACAGCACAGACCGGGGCTCGAGGCAGCTCCGCCCCTGGCGTCATGGCTGCCGGGGCACAGGCAGGCTCTGCCCGGGAGCCGGGGTGGGCACCCACGTGCCAGCCCGGCCCCACCTTCCCCGCACACGGCTCCTCCTCGGGGGCAGGCCGGGCACCCGGCACCCCTTCGCCGAGTGAGCTCCTGCTCCGTCTGCACGTCCCGCCTCCTCCCGGGCAGGCAGGAAGCAGCCGGAGCGAGAGCGGTCCGGCCAGCGCACCTGGTCCAGGGCGCCTTCCGCTACGAAACCCCTGTCTCTCTCCTCCTGCCACTGCTCACTCGGGGCCTTCGGGGCGCGACGAGAGTCCCCCGACCCGCATCCGTCCAGGCGGGGCGGCTCACGGTGCAGCCGCTCCTGCCTGAGTCAGGCCGGGGTCGGGGTGTCTCAGCCTGCCTGGCCACACCGCTGCCCCGGGGACGCTGTGATGTGGGTGCAAGGGCGGAGCCCCAACACGGGTACGACGTGGAAACGCCCTGCGCTCACGAGTAAGCGTGTGCTACGAAAGAAAGGGACTCACTCCCCGAGTCTGACTGTGAGCGTTTCCAACCACTGAGCCTGAAATCAGGGTCCTCTCAACGGACCTTACAACACACCGAACGTAATATAAAAGGACCTTTATGGCTTCTTCTTCCACCAGGATGGTCGGCTGGATCCTCTTGGCAGCCTGTCTCACTGCCTCAAAGCGGGCGACTGTTCACGCCTGTGGTATCTATTACCATAGCATGAACGCACTAGGATGAGCACCTTTATGGGAACACGGTGTTAGGTGAGGCGGGAGGACGCCAGGCCTTCTCTGGATGGCTGCTGGGGTAACGTGAGCTAACAAAAAGGAATAAATGGCAAGTGGGCTTTTCCCAACCCCTCTGTCTGCCTGTGATCTGATCCAGCCTCCCACGCTTGGCTGAGTTCTGGTCTTTTCCTTCAGTATCACAGGAGAGGTGTGTGCACGGAAGAGGGCCCCCCGGGGTCAAGAACTGCTGGCAGAGGCTGTGCAGGGCGCAGAGTGAGGGCGGGGAGGGTGGGCTAGGGGATGAAGGTGGAGGCCGCGGGAAGCAAGCCACACGTGGTCACCAGGGAAACAGCCACCAACGTCCACTTCAGGCTAGGCGGCTCTCCAGTTCCCGGTCCTCTGTCCACACACGAGCCGTTCCTATGCTCCTGTACTTGGCGGAATGAATTTTTAAATTCTAACACAGGGCTTGTCACTGGTGAGTGTGAGGATTCGAAAACTTAGTTCATTTATTTAGACACAAATGGGAAAGACAAAATTTTAAAACAGCTGAATATTAAAAACAACCCCATGTGACTGCAGCCTGCCAGGCTCCTCTGTCCATGGGATTCTCCAGGCCAGGATACTGGAGTGGGGGGGCACTCCGGGGGATCCAGGCGATCTTCCTGACCCAGGGATCGGAGCTGCGTCTCTTATGTCTCCTGCGTTGGCAGGCAGCTTCTTTAACCACTGACCCACCTGGGAATGACCCATAAAAACAACTACTCTAAAGATCAGATTTTCATTTCTGTTACTTAACAGACACTGAATTTAAGACTTAACTCCCATTTAATGGAACATGGCTGCCTATCGCCTTTCTACATTTTGGGGAATTCACATCAGGACGGCAGCCTCTGCAGCGCAGCAGCCAGAGCCCAAATCCCAATCTCGGCGGGGCCGTGAGACGCGCATGTGAAGAAGGTGCAAGCAGAGCAGGATGGACACCTAGACGCCCGTCGCGACGTCCGGCCCACCTGCTGCGTGCCCTGCTCTCCTCCTCCCAGTTCACGCTGACCCCTGAGCAGTGTGGGTCTGAATGCCTCGGGTCCTCTGACACGCGCTTTTTTTTTTAAACACCTACTGCATGCTCTGAGTTCGGCCGACTGTAAAGTTACACTTGGATCTTTGCGTGGGGTCAGTGCCTCAACCCCCAAGCTGTTCAAGGGTTAACTGCATATACTTCTTTTTTAAAACCACTTGAGAGGAGGCTGTCCATTTACCCCAAACCTTCAGCAGCAGGGCACTTGCGTCCATGCCCATGGCAACCCCGGGGGGAGTGATGTGGACGCGATGCTCTCACCCAGCAGCACGTCCTCCTCCAGCACCGGCTTGTCTGGAATCGAGGGCTGCATGTAGCTGTCCACTCTCCCGCCTCTTTTAATCTGAAATACTGATCTTTCTGAAGAATGCAGTGGCTCCCCTCAGGAGGCGGCTTTTGTGACATTTCCAATCTTTACCAAAATGGTTTTCCAATCAGCACAGCAACCACTGGTCTAGCAGACGTTTTACTGTAAACGAGAGCCCTCCCTTCTCCCCTGTTTATCTGTTACCCACATGGACTCACAGATGATTTTATTTCTCAACGTTTGCAATCTGCAAAGTCATAAAGACTGTTTGAATGTGCAGATCATAGAACTGCACACAAAGCCCTCAAGAATTTATAAAAATGCTAACACTTGAGTCAAGAAATGAGTTCAGAAAATTCACACGATACGTGGTCAACATACAAAACCAAGTGTATTCTATATGCGAGCCTTAAATAAGTGGAATTTAAAATGTAAAAAAAATTTCATTTGATACTAACATATTTAAGAAAATTTTTTGTTTTTTGTTGCAGGATATGTTCTGTATGTTGAAATAACCACAGATGCACAGAAAGCTGCAAAGATGGCAGAGAGAGGTCTAGTGCACCCGTCATCCCATTTCCCAGTGGCTCCACCTTGTGTGATTACAACTCAGCACAGTCAGGGACTGACCCGGGCTCAGGCGCGTGTGCGTGTGGTTCTGTGCACAACTGTGGATTCCTGCGATGCCCCCAACCACTTCGCCCTGCTCCCCACAATCCAGACAGAGATCTGATCCATCAACACAGAGGTGCCCTCCCCTCCTCTGCCAGCCCTCGTCGCTGGCAGACACTCATCTCAGGTCATCTCCATGGTTTACAGTCATTGGCTTGTTTTCCGTATAGCTTTGCCTTTTCTAGAATGTACTTTAAGTGGAATGAGGCAGAAAGTGACCTTTTGAAGTGTGGTTTTGTTTTGTTTTTAAAACTCAGCAAAATGCCTGGAGATCCACCCAGCTGCTGTGTGCATCGACAGTCTGTCTTCTTTACTCCTGAGCAGTGACGTCTGGTATGGATGAGCCATGGCTTATTTAACCACTCACGGATCTGGAGACATTTCGGTTGTTTCCACATTTTTGGGATTACAAATGAAGATGCTATCGGCATTCATGCACAGATGTGTGGACACAGTTCTCATTTCTCTGGGATGAATGCCCAGGATCGGGCTCTCTGGGTTTACAGTAAGTATGTATTCACCAAGTATAGTTTTTTTTTTTTTAAAGAAACTCCCAAACTCTTTTCCAGCATGGCTGTATCACTGTACATTCCCATCAGTGATGTACAGGCGTCTAGTTTCTCCACACTCTCACTAGCCTTCGGTATTGATGCTGGTGTTCCTCTTCTAAGAGCTATCTCAACAAGGTTTTATCAGTAATTTGTGTGCCCCTTGCTCTGCGATGATCCAATGGGTCATGATGTTGAACGTCTCTTCATGTGCTTGTTTGCCATCTGTATTTCCTCTTAGGTGAAATTTCTTTGTGTCTTTTGTCCATTTTCTACTTGGATTGTTTTATTCCTATTAAATGTAAGCGTTCCTTAGACACTCCAGATATGAGTCCTCTGTTAGATATGTGGTTGGTGAGTACTTTC